CTTTATCTCTTCTTCCTGCATCTTTTCCTTTAACTCAAGATCTCGCTTCTTCAACTCAAATTCTTTCTCACGCTTTTTTACTTCCTGCCCTCTCTTTTCCTTTAAATACTCCACTGTATCCCCCCATGCCTTTTCTTCTTCCTCTCTCTTTCTACATTCTCCCTCTCCCTTGTCTCCCCCATTCTCTCCATTGCCCTCTTCCTCACTGCCTCTGCTGTTTCTTTTTCTTTCTCAATGTCATTTTTCTTCTTTACCTCTCCCCTCAACAACTGTTCTTGCTGCTCCCTTGCAGTCTCTGTTATATCCTCAAGAGCCTGATCCAGCTCATCAGGCTCTTCTGGACTGATACCACTGGCTCTTTCCTCGCTGGCCTTTTTCCTATTAAAATCTTTCTCAAGTTTGGTGAAGCGATCTCTCACTGACCTTTGGTCAACTATGAAGTGAGGATGCTCCACCAAATTCAAATTATTGGCAATTCGCTCCCAGCATTGCCCTCGGTCATGGGTGCCATTCCTAAATGTAAATGGCTGGACAACCAGCACTTCTCTACAAAGTAGCACATCATGCTGCTTGGTCCATGTCATTTTGTGCCTGTTTGAAAAGGCTTAAGAAGGGTTGAAGGCAAAAAAAACCTTTTCACTCAAAAATTATGTATGAAACATAAATGATTACAGATGTTCTAGATATAATTATTTATATCCCAGTCTGCAGAGTGTGGCAGTTCTAAATAAAATCTCACATGCTCAAAGTCATTTCAGGTTGGTTTTCTGTGTGTAAACCGCATGGCAGTAAATGTAATGTGTAGTTCCTAATATCAGCATACAGCACTACATTGACCTGGTGCATAAATCTGCCATGCTCTTCAGACTGGTGTATATCTTACAGGATACCTTCAACATTTTTACAAGAACACAACTGTTTATTTAAGAACAGAAAATGTAGAAAGCTGCATTTTGACATGCATAATAAGAATTTGGCAAAAAGTCTTAGCAGTTTGATTGCAATTTGGACGAACACTCATTTTTATAAGAAACAAAGGTCAACATTTAGTAGCGAAGTGTCTTAGTGTTGCTGCATTTTTCAGCACTTGCTTTTTGCTTTTGTCAACTTTTTTAATTTCATGTCATTTATTCATAATTGAAATATTTTAACTTATAACTGAAACCTGAAGGGGACTTGATTAACTTATAACTGAAGATAAGTTGGCTTTGAAGAACAGGTAGATGTTTGTAATAGCTTTTGTTACTTGTCCTACTCTCATCTTTCTTCAAGCTCTCTTTTCTGAAATGTCCCAAGCAAGTTTTCTATATCAAGTTTGTTGAATAATAGATAAGTGTATAGTGTTTTTGTGAAGGGAAAAAACTAGCTTTAATAATAGCTGGTAATAGATGGTAAAATCCCTTTAATAATAAATATCTGAAAATTTTAGCTTGGTACTTGATCTTACTATCGGGAGACATACAGTTGAACCCAGGACCGAGAAGAAGAGAAAAAGATCTATAGTCAGAGATCACAGCAAACGTCGGTTGGGGACGCTCTCTCACTGAAACGAAACGTAAGTACCTCAAGGATCAGTTTTAGGTCCCTTACTTTTTCTTGTTTTTATCAACAACTTGCCGTTATCATTAAAATACTCGAACACAATCTTGTTTGCAGATGACTCAGTTATCTATTACTCGGGGAAAAACTGTAATGAAATCCAAAATAAGATGAATGAGAATTTGGCTCTAGTGAAGGAATGGCTAAACGACCATCGACTGACGTTAAACATCACTAAATCAAAGTTTGTTGTGGAAAGCAGCAGTTAAAGCGTTTCAAAGATATGACATTGAAAATCAAAGAGGACGAACTAAGTCGAGAAACAAGTTATAAGTATCTTGGTATAATAATAAATGAAAATATGACATGGGGGGATCACATTGCTTCATTGCAGCAAAAAGTAGAAGAAAGAATAGGTTTGTTAAAAAGAATTAGTCATCTAATTCCCAGGGCACAACGTTTAACTTTGGTAAATACTATGATAATACCATTGTTTGATTATGGAGATACTGTTTCTGCAAGTTCTTCACAACAAATGCGCCAAACTGGTATTGACCATGAAACCAAATGACTCAAGCACGAAGGCTTAATTTCCAGTGACTTAAATTTACTGCACTGGAAATCTCTAGATATCATACGAAAGTTCCATCGATGTGCCACCATTTACAAGTCGAAAAAAAACGATATAAGTTACACTTTCAGCAATAAAACAGGAAACGATTTGCATAACATCCAGACAAGGAACAAAGAGCAATAGCATCTATCTAAAGTAAGGACAAATTGGGGGAAGCAAGTGTCATGCTATCTGTTTGTTGATGACTGGAATAAACTGGACAGAAACATTAAGTTGGCAGGAACTTTTAATATTTTTAAACAAAGGTTTTGGATAATGTGAACTGATTTTATCCACTATGATGAACTTTTTTTAATTTTGTAATGTTTTGCTAAATCGATATAATTAGTTAAATAGAGGACCCTCATGAAAAGCACCCTCGAGTGACTGAGGCCATCTTCTGTAAATATTTGTATTATTATTATTATTATTATTATTATTATTATTATTATTATTATTATTATTAGTAGCATGCCTCAGAATATTTTCAATTTCACCATAAGGTACCTGAACAATACCCTTGCTACACAGAAAAACTTGAAAAAGTGGAACTTGAGCCAGACTTCTGATTGTTCTTTCTGTTTTCTGCCAGAAACCCTCCTTCACGTTGTTGCTGGCTGCAAAACATACTTGGAACAAGGCCGATACACCTGGCGTCATAACTCTATCTTAAACTTTCTAGCTACGTCTCTTAAAGCTGTTAATGAATCTACCATCTACGCTGATATACCTGGCTATCTTTCACCATCAATCATAACTGGAGAAAACCTTCGCCCAGATCTTCTCTTGAAGACTAACAACAATTACCTATACATCTTGGAGCTTACTGTTGGTTTTGAATCCAATCTTGACACAAATGCAACAAGAAAACACAGCAAGTATGCTCCTCTCCTATCTGACTTACAGCGAAAGTTCAAATGTGTCTCTTTTGTGAATCTTTCTATGAGCTCTCTTGGCATCTTTGGCAATTCCTGCATCTCTTTCTTCAAAATGTGTGACTCTCTCTCCATCGATCAACAACAAAAATGGTATCTCATCTCTAAACTTTCCAAAATTGCCATTCGTACTACGTACTACATATTTTGTTGCAAAAATAAACCATGGACAAATACGGAATTACATCCGTTTTAATTTTGGTTGTTTTATTTTTCTCAGTTTTTTTTCTTTTACCTTACGATTGTTATAGTTTTTTCTTGTAAACCAGGCTAGCCAATTGCAAATTACCTTGTAATAGTGAGATTTGTAATTGTAGTTTAAGTTGAATTGAAAATGAAATGTTTCCATTATTATTATTATTATTTCTATTATCATTATTATTATGACAAATAAGCCACGGACAAATCCGGAATTACATCATTTTTAACTTTGGTTGCTTTATTTTTTTCTCTCAGTTTTTCTTTTTATCTTACGATTGTTAAAGTATTTTTTCTTATAAAAACAGGCAAGCCAGTTACAAATTACCTTGTAATAGTGAGATTTGTAATTGTAGTTTAAGTTGAATTGAAAATGAAATGTTTCCATTATTATTATTATCTACCTCATCTACCTCTCTCTCTGACATGCTACACCAACTTAATTTTGACTCAAATCAAACTAAATCCATCTTGATGAAACTCATGAACATTTCTATCCGCTGCACCTACTATATCTTCTGTCGTCGAAATAAACCATGGCTAAGCCCCGAACTAATCGACTTTTAAATATTGTAATGCAGATAAGCCAATTATATGATGCCTGTAAAAGCGACTCGTATAATTGTAAATTTAAAATGTATTCAATGAAAATGAGATGTTTAAAAAAAAAATTATGTCATCACAGACCATAAAGCCTTAAAATATATCTTCAATAATGCCAGATTGAAGCCTCCAGCACGCATAGAGCGATGGGTTCTAAGACTTCAACCCTATAACTTTCGGGAATTCAACCTATTAAAAGTGACTTTCAAGGCAATTCACAACACTAACTGGCCTACAATTATTAAACTCGAGCTGCAAACTTGTAACAGACTACTGCGAAGTGTCTCTTATAAGGTCTCAAACAAAACTCATATAAGGCCATCACTAATAGCAGATACTTTTGAAGATGCCGCTGCAAAGTGCTTTAATGACTTACCTGGATCAATAAAATCTCAGTCTAGCTTTACAACATTTTGTTCCAACTTAGAGAAGCATTTATTGGAAAAAGCGAGCAACAAATTGGACTAAAAAACATTATTTCTTCTTTTTTTTATAATTATGTAACTGTTGTTAACTTTTGAACCTGTAATTTGACTTTGCTTTTAATTTTAGAGTTGAAGAGCCACGCTTGTAGTGGATATGCTCGATTGTACCATTATTATTATTATTATTATTATTATTATTATTATTATTATTATATCGTAAAGCGGTCGCGTGCAGACGCTGCTGTACACGGCTCCGGTTTAACTTCGTTTATCAAGCCTGGATTTATTTGTTTCTATAAATTGTTTCAGTCAATCGATTAATAACGGTTAAAGGACTTTGGAAAGACATGGTTCGATCTTATATTATCTCAATTCTCATTCTATTTACCATTTGTTCGTTTTGTGGAAGGGACTTTGTTACGTTAGGCCGACATCAATGGCGCTGTAAACGACAGATTCACAGCAAAGATACTTGACCCAACGGAGCAATTAACATTCCATTGATTGACACCAGATCAAATTCTGTTGTTTTGAACAGTCAACAATGTGTTAAGTGCTGCTGTGGCAAGTCCTGCAAAGGGATCAAAGGCCTCCGCATTCATCAGAGAAATTGTAAGGTTTTGAAAGGGCTTGGCGAAGAGCAACTGCATGAAATTGTGACTGATGATGATCTTGATACCAATGACAACCCTGATGTGCCTCTTGAGGAATATTTTGAAATAAAGCCAGGAATTCGCCTACCTAGTTCTGACAATGAATGGTTACTCGCCAACTCGTATTTTCAATCTGTACTTATAGATGTGTCCATAAATGAGTCATCAGTTGATAACGTTACCAGGTTGATGATAGATTCGATTTATGACTATTTTAGGGACACAGGTGGTGTGATTGAAAACTGCAACAAAGACCTGTCTACAAAATACAAGGACCACTCAATTAAAAGCTTGAAAAAACAATTAAAGGCTCTTAAATATTCTAAAGCCCCCATTCTTGAAAATAAATACGTATCTGGACTTATTCGAAAGAAGCTCAAGACAAACATTCTACAAACAAATACTTCTGACACAATTGATCATGATAAATACATTGCTAAAAATTTCTGGAGTTACGTCAAACGCTTTTTTCAAAGTAAGTCATCACTTCTGCCATCATTTTCTGCTACACGTTGCACCGAGTACTTTAGTGATACTTTGTCTGCCCTTTATCCAAATAATCGATTCACTATTTCTTCTTGGATTCCTTCTTTCGATGAACCATCCTATCCATTTGACACACAACCTCCATCATATCATGATAACTTCTATTATACGTCGCATGAAATCCTCCACTTCTCCCTGTCCCCTTGATAAGATATCCATCATTTGTTTCAAACGTTGCCCTTACCTACGATCTTTCCTCACCAAAATTATTCATAGCATTGGGTATCTGGCAGCGTTCCATCCGAATGGAAAAAAGCATCAACGATATTGATCCACAAAAAGGACAATACAGATGATCCTTCTAACTTCAGACCAATAACCTTTGAAAATCTTTGAGAATCTGTTCCCTTGAAAATCTTCACCTCCTGCATACATTACTCTGTTTTCAGCTTTCTGAAACAAAATGGTTTCATTGAAAGCCAAATTCAAAAAGGCTTCACTCCCAAGATATCAGGTACTTTAGAACACGCGGCACTTACGGGTCATATGATAAATAAAGCTCGCACAAAACAGCGCTCTTTGGTTGTTACCCTGCTTGATCTCAAAAATGCTTTCGGCGAGGTCCACCATAATTTGATTCCCACTATTCTTTCGTACCATCATATACCATCTCAGCTCTGGTCTGGTCTGGTCTGGTTTCAGCTCTGGTCTCCAGCTTATATTCGGGCTTCAAGACCTCTATCCTCACAGATACATTCCAAACCCCTGCAATTCCCATTTGTCGTGGTGTTCTTCAAGGTGACTGCCTCAGCCCTCTTATCTTTAATCTATGCTTCAATACATATATTCAATACATAAAAGCAGAAAAATATAAACAGCTTGGCTTCTCTCCCCACGACGAAAACGATCGCATGTTCCAGCCAGTGCATTAGTTACAATTTGCTGATGATGCTGCGGTTGCTACTAGTGGTGAAAAGGAGAAACAGCTCCTGTTAAACTGCTTTACAAGATGGTGTCAGTGAGCAAACTTTGTAATAAGGGTTGATAAATGTGTCACCTTTGGCATTAAGAAATACTCAACAAGATCTCTACAGTTCCAGCCAAAGCTTTTCGTGAACAACCAAAGCGTGCCTGTTGTTAAAAATGGAGAATCTTTCAAATACCTTGGCCGCTTCTTTGACTTCGAAATGACCAATGGCAGTCATAAAGAGAAACTGCTATCAATGTTTCCCAGCCTTCTGAAAGAAATTGATGACTTGCCTCTGCATCCCAAAAATAAACTTCTATTGTACCACAGATATGTATTGTCCAAAGTTTCTGGGCACTTCACTGTTGCAGACCTATTGAAGACCTGGGTCATTGAGAACCTCGATAATCTTGTCTCTAAATACATTCGCCAGTGGCTTGATCTTCCCATAAGTGCTACTTCAAATAGTATAGTTCTTTCTAAAAATCAATTTGGTCTCGATCTCAGCTACCTTCTGTCAAATTCACTCAATGCCAAACTGTTTCACGCAATGCCCTCCGAACTTCTCCTAATACAAACATTCAAGCTTTATGGAAAAACACCAGTAGTGGGATGAATCTGCAATACAACATTTACCGTAACACCAAAGATATACTGAAAGCAGTAAAATCAGACAGTAGAGAGCGCTTGGCACACCAATTACTATCCCAGGGTGCTATTATTTCATTTCTGTTGGACCACTCTCTTAAAAGCTCAATGGTCTTTGGTCTGTTGTGCAGAGCAACCTACCCACGAACATCTTCAACTTCACCATCAAGTACCTGAACAATACTCTCCCTACGCGCAAAAATCTAAGCCTTTGGAACCTAAGCCAATCATCTGATTGAGAATTCTGCCTTCTTCCCGAAATTTTACTCCATGTCGTTGCAGGCTGCAAAGTTTATCTCGAACAAGGTCAATATACCTGGCGTCATAATTCTGCTCTAAATTTTCTTGCAACCTCCTTGAAAGCGACGATGGCTTCTCCTTACCATCCATCATAACTGGAGACAATCTGCGCCCAGATCTACTTCTGCGTACAAAGGAAAACATTCTTTATGTTTTGGAACTAATGATAGGATTTGAAACCAACCTTAACTGCAATTCAGAAAGAAAGCGTTTAAAATATGCTCCCCTTGTCTCAGATCTAAGACCAAGGTTCAAATCTGTCAAATTTGTAAATCTCTCCATCAGCTCTCTTGGCATCTTCGGCGACTCATGCAGCTCATTCCTTGAAATGTGTGACTCTCTTTCCATCTAGACATCAAAGCAAAAGGAGAAAAATGCAAGTTTCTTCAAAAAGAAATCAAATTTTATGGTCTCATTTTTACAGAAAAAGGTACCAGACCTGACCAAGAGAGAGTCAAACATCTGTTAAACACTGCACCGCCACAGAATGCATCGGAAGTGCGCAGTTTTCTTGGAATGGCAAACACTTGTAGCCATTACATTCCAAATTATGCCACGTTGACACAACCGCTTCGAGAGTTGACAAAGAAAAATAATACTTTCAAATGGACCATAGTAGAACAAAGAGCATTTAACCAGTTGAAAAAGAAACTTACACAAGCACCTACTTTGACACAGAGAAACACAGTGTGTTTATCGTAGATGGATCACAGCACGCTGTTGGTGCTATTTTAGCTCAAAGAGAGAAGGATGGGACACAGTATAAAATTGTCTTGTATGCAAGTAGAGCCCTCACTCCAGTAGAGAGCAGATATTCACAGACCGATATAGAAGGCCTTGCTTTAGTCTGGGGGATAGAACATTTTCGCCTATTTCTCCTAGGCAAAGAATTTGATGTAATCACAGACCATAAGGCCTTAGAGTCAATCTTCAATAATGCTAGATCCAAGCCACCAGCACGAATAGAGCGATGGGTTCTAAGACTTCATAGGGCCCTATAACTTTCGTGTAATATACAAAAAAGGATCGCAAAATGAAGCTGACTATTTGAGTAGACATCCAATCAACAAGAGTCAGTCCGAAAGTAAAGAAGAACAAATGGCCGAGGAATATGTGAAGTATATTATCGAAAACACAGTTCCAAAGACAATGACACTGGAAGAAGGAAAGGAAGCCACACGCAAATTTTACAGAAAGTTCGGAAAGCTATTGAATCAGGAACATGGGATGCAAAGGATCCAGAGCTTCAGCCATACAAGAGATGTGCAGAAGAACTAACAGTAAATACCAAAGTAGTTATCATGAAAGGATGTAAAATGGTGATTCCTAAAAGCCTTCAAAGCTAGGCCATGCAGGACACCAGGGAATAGAAAAAACAAAAAGTCTACTCAGAGAACAAATCTGGTTTCCAAAACTGGATGACAAAGTTCGCGAGATTGTCGCAAATTGTGTCGCATGACAAGCAGTTGGAAATGCTAATTCACCCGAGCCAATGCAAATAACTCCAACAGTAGACATTCCATGGCACACCATAGCTATTGACCTTCATGGCCCAATAACAAATACAGAGCAATATCCATTGGTAGTAACAGACCTTTATTCAAAATTCCAAGAAATCGAAATTTTGAATTCCACAACCGCACCAGCAGTAATACCCAAGCTGGACCGTATATTTGCGACACATGGCATTCCAGTAAAACTAAAGACAGATAATGGACCTCCATTTAATGGAAATGAATTCAAGAGATACACCAAAGCTTTAGGTATGGAGTGGAAACCAAGTACACCACTCTGGCTTCAAGGAAATTCGAATGTTGAAAGCTTAACGAAAGCAATCGGTAAAGTGTTACAGACAGCAAAATTAGAAGGAAAGAACTGGAAACAAGAACTCCAAAGATTCCTACTAACATACCAAACAACTCTGCATGATACAACAAAAGTACCTCCATGTGAACTGTTGTTCAATAGATCAATTCGAGGACAACTACATGAATTGCCAAGAAAGAGGGTACTTAATAAGCATAAAAAAGCAAAGGAAAACATCGAGAAAAAGAAAGCTCAAAACAAAGAATATTATGGCAAGAAACATAATACGAAAGAGTCAGAGATAAAAGTGGGAGATACAGTTATTTGTCTACAAAAGAGGACAAATAAGCTAGTACCAAAGTTCAGCCCAGAAAGATTCATTGTACAAGAACGAAAAGGAACAAAGATACTCGTGAAAAACCGACGACATATCATAACAAGAAATGTCTCACATTTCAAGAGAGTTCCAGCAACGGACAGCTACAACAATGAGGAGGAAGATATTAGTGACAGTGACAGCAAGAAGGAAAAGAAGGAGCAAGAAAAGATTGAAGTCGATGACAGACCAAGGAGATCGAAAAGATCAAAGATTCCAGTTTGGAGATTTGGATTTATGCAAATGTGAACAGCTCAGAACATTGAGAACTATAAACATGGATGTGTCGAAAAAAAAGGGGAGCAATGTAGTAGTTTTTATTATTATTATTATTACCATTAATGTATGACGTCATATGCCTGCGCATATGATCTTATTGTAATCTCGTATATGAAGCGATCTCCCGAACCGATGTGTTTTATCTCTTTCTTACAAAGTCTACACACATTCTTAACAATCTCAACCAAAACAAGGCTTTATTTCTTTCTCTGAGCTCTTGATTTTTTTCTATTTCATCATCTTCATTTAAATATATCAATACTCAATGATTAAAAGTTACAACCATTGTATGACACAATTATAATAGATAAAAGCAACAACTTTCAAGTACACTGAAGAAAGTTCTGTAGTTCACGTTGGATTCATATTGAACATGAGAGTTCTAGGCCTCGAGAGAAAGGGCCTAAGAAATATTTAATCGAGAACCATTAGTCAAGGGGACCCAAAATTGTATGGTTAGAAAACTTTAACATTTGATCATAGTCAAAAGAAAAGTATAGTCTGGAAACTAACAATAGGGCATTGTTATATGTTTTTATGCATGTAATTTTGGTGCCCAGTCCCTACGATGGTGCATAGTTGCCAGAATGAAAAACTATTCACACATTTCGGGCGCTTCGGCTCGCAAAATGCCAGGCGCAAACTGTAAAATATATGGATGTAGCGTATCTAGAAAGGCAAAGTATCAAGATATCAGTATATTTAGAGTTCCTAAACTTGATGACGTATCTCACAACAAATGGAGAGAGAATTTTGTGGCGGTTGTTACAAGAGACAGAGTAGTTGACGCAAGCCTAAAATGTCAGATTCAAAACAAAACCATCGGAGTTTGCGAGCTTCACTTCAAGCCTGAGGAGATAATTCACCGTAAGTTTGTTATTTTATTTGAGCTCCATATATTAGTTTGTATTTGAAGCAATGCGAAAATGGCCAGGTATTGATTCAATATATAAATGCAGTCGGACAACATGCATACCTAGGACCATATAAAAACTAACCATTAGGCTTAGGCCGTATCAAAAGTTTCAGTTTCAGTTTTCATCATTAATCAATCGATCCTAAATACAATTCTACATAATACACTACACCTAAATACATAGAAAAATACCGCACTACACAAAAATAAATTAAAATTAAAGATCACAGAAAAAGAACTTTACATGATTGTATTTAAGATTGATTGATTTAGAGGAGGAGCTCGCTTATAAGGTTAACTAATCGAGAGAAATAATAAAGCTACAACATATTTTATTAGAATCGAAACAAGATGTTTGCCAGATTTTTCTGCAGAGACCAAATGAATAGCAACAATTTAGGGAGATTTTTAATCGAGAAACAAAATAGAAAATGGTAATACTTTTAGAACTGCCCATTTACATTTTAATTGGGATGTTATGTCCTCTGTACTTGAATGCTACAATGTTTTGGAATATTGTAGAATACAAACCAGTCCTCATTTGTTAATTTTTTTGTAGATGCCTCAAAGAAAACCCTGGTTCCTGGACTATTCCAACTCAAAACCTGCCAAGAAAAAGTATACAAAGAAACAAAAAGGTATACTCATTTGCAAGCATTCGTTTTAATATTAAAAAATTGATCCATTTAGGAAATTAACAATTTTTTTGTATGGAATGTTTTTGGTTTGTTTATTATATATAAAGAAATTTCGGTATCAACAGTTGATGAAATTTACCTCTAAAAAATTGCCCAGTATGATTGCACATCCTATCAACCATCCCATGGGTAACCCCCCCCCCCCCCGAAACATATCTAGACTGGCCTCTTTAAAATTGTCTTTAAGTTCACTTTAACCCAAACCTAATGAGCATTTGACAGTTAAAATTACAGAAAACTGATATTTTGTCTTTACAATACGGCAAAGACAGTAAGGATGGAAGACCTTCTTCGAAAACTGCATCTGTTAAAAGAGAGACAAGCAATGAGGCTTCCGCTCATCAAAGTACATCTGTGCCATCAAGATGCTATAAGTCATTTAAGGAAATGTGTGCTCGAAGCCAGAATTTGAAGCTACGTTATTGCTGGACGAGTGAAGCAAGAGAAAATGACTGTTTATTTATTAAAAGAGGAGATGATTCATTCGAGTTGAATAAGTTTGAAGTGTACATTGACACTTCCCTCAACTTTACAGTGAGGGTTTATGCTTGGGAGATTCCAGAAAATCACAAACTTTACCAAAAATTCGCAAGATCAGTGGAAAATGTAACAATTTCTAATCTTGTGTGTTGTTTGGAGAATAACAGTCTTTGTTCTGGTATTGATTGCAAGATTTTCCAATTGTCCGCTGCCTTTGTAAAGCATAATGGGCCTCATAAGCATTATTATTCTGTTAAAGGAAGCAAACCATTGGATCAAACTGAGTATTCAAGGTCACCCTCATGTTTGGTAATTTTGTTACCAGAGTTGGGACAAAAATCACCATGCATCTTCTGTTCAAAGCTTTCCAAGGTAAAAGAAAGATCCTCAAAACAAAAATCAAGGCGACTTGAAACTGTAGCAAGTTTGAAAGCTCCTGTATCAATGAGATCTTCATCCAGAATAAAACTAACACTGCAGCAGGTGTGCCAAGAACAAAGTGCTAATGAATGAGATGTCAGAAATGAAGAGAGAGATTTCAATAAATGCTATCCCTGTTGCAAAAGAATTAGATATAGATTTAGTCACCATCATGTCAGGTGTAGAAGAATCATCAATGCCACCCTTCATGAAGCTCTTTTGGAGTGAGCAACAGAATTATTTAAAAACATCCAGCAAAGGTCTCAGATAACATCCCCTGATAATAAGGTATTGTTTACGCCTTGCTTCAAAGTCTCCAGCAATGTATGATGACATGCGTTATGACCAGAGCAAAGGAACTGGAGTTCTTATTCTTCCAAGCAGACGTCGTTTAAGAGATTACAAGAATTACATCCGTCCCAGAGAGGTTTTAATGCAGAAATAGTGCAAGAGCTAATTGAAAAAACAAAAGATTTCTCCCAAGCTGAAAGGTATTAAGAAGACTTAGTGTGGGACAAGAACACTGGTGACTTAATTGGCTTTGTTGACCTCGGTGACACAGAACTTAATTATGGAACATTTAAGGGGAAAGTTAACACAGTGGCTAGTCATGTTCTGGTATTTTTACTGAGGAGCATGATAAATCCAATCAAGTTTAGCTTTGCTAATTTTGCTACAACTTTGGCATCATCATTTCAATTGTTTCCCTTATTCTGGAAGGCTGTTAGCATTTTGGAGTTGCAGTGTAACTTGAAAGTCATATCAGTTACATGTGATGGTGCTTCTGCTAATAGAGGCTTTTTCAAAATGCACAAGCATCTGAATAACAATGATGACGCAGTCACTTTTAAAGTTGAGAATATGTTTACTGAAGAAAAGCCCTACATTTATTTTGTGGCTGACCCACCACACCTAATGAAGACTGCTAGGAACTGCCTATCAAATTCTGGTTCAGGGCGTTGTAGCAGACTTATGTGGAATGATCAGTACATTCTTTGGAGTCATATTTGTGACCTGTACAATGAAGACCAGGAATGTGGTCTTCTTCTGTTACCAAAGCCAACAGAAGATCATCTTAATCTATCTTCGTACTCTGTAATGAATGTGAAATTAGCTGTTCAGGTCCTTAGTTGTACAGTGGCTAAGGTACTTGAAAGTTTTGGTCCAACAGAGAGCGCTGGAACGGCAAATTTTTGCAGGATGATGGATTTGTTTTTTGATTGCACAAATGTCAGGAACACCAAAGAAGGAGACAGAAAACTCAAGCCTTTCCTCGAGCCCTACAGGTCCGTCAATGATGTCAGATTTGACTGGTTGAAAAATGAATTCCTCATGTACCTGAAATCTTGGAAAGAGTCTGTTGACAAAAGGCCAGGTAATTTTAGTGAATCAGACCGTATGAAAATGTTCATATCAAGGCAAACATATGAAGGCTTGCAAATAACATGTTACTCTTTAATAGAGAGTGCGGGAAAATAACCGACCCGAGCAAGGCTTGAACTCATGACCCCTGACTTTGTACGTCAAATGCTCTACCGCTGAGCTATCGGGTCATGCTTTCAAGCCAACACCCAAGGCAGAGTCATTCACCAGCACTGCCTTTTACCAGATACACTGGTTACTCTTTAGTTGAGTGCATAAAATTTCTCTTATAGAATGGGCTCCAGTATGTTTTAACTGAACGATTCTGTCAAGATTCCTTGGAGAACTACTTTGGTCACCAAAGGAGTCTTGGCCGACGTAAAGACAACCCAACGTTACGAGACTTTGGTTATAATGATAATACCATACGCAATTTGAAGGATTTACAGCCAATTGCAGGAGGAAATGTACACAGTGCTTTTCATGAAGAAGTGATGTCAATAGATTCAATTCCTCTCCCAAGTCGGAAAAAGAAAAAAACAACAATTTAAACTTTGAAATGAACAATGTTATGTATCTATTACTTAATTTAACAATACATATAACCAGTTATGTTTAAGGCATTTTATTCTTCTTTTTAGTACCACAACTCAGAGAGCATTAAGGGCTGGGGATTATTATAACACCCCAATGTTATACCAAAATCTCATCATCATCATCATCAAAGGCGTAGGCCTAGTGGCCCTTGGCACCTCTCACAATGGCAGCCCATTTGAGGCGATCTTGAGCATGCCTCATGGCAGTTGCTAGTGGAAGACCAGTGTCTTTTCTAACCTGGTCTTGCCATCTCAAAGGTGGTCTACCTCTACCCCTATTTCCTTGAAAATCTTGGATAAAAACAGACTTGATGTAGTTGTCTCCTGGTCTTCTTGCCATGTGACCGAACCATTTGAGCCTTCTCATTTTGACGATGTTGCCTATGTTCTGGACATTAAGCTTATCTCTTATATAGTTGTTGGATAGTCTTCGTACCTGGTGACGCCAAGGATAGCTCTCAAGCATCGCATTTCAAAAGTTTCAAGCTTCTGTAGATCAACAGAAGTAATAGTTCAGGTTTCTGAGGCATAAAGTGCAATGGGGAGAATGAGTGCATTATAAAGGCGGACTTTTAGTTTATGTGAAATTGACAGTTGATTCCAGACCCTAGATCTCAGCCGGCCGAATGCAGAGGATGCCATACCAATTCTTCGGTCTATGTATGTTGTGGAGCCTGGTATATTGCTGCCTAGAAACACAACGTTGTCAACGTGTTCAACAGGGTCTCCATCGATACTAATAACTTTGTTATCTTCTGGGGATATGACTTTACATTTGGCTGAGTTAATTTTCATACCCCACTTCTTGCATGCCTCTTCAAGTGCTTCCGAAGATAACATTAACTTATCAAATATGCAGGGAAAAAGAGTGGTGTCGTCTGCATACCGTATATTATTGCTTAAATTGTTGTCAAGAGTAAGTGAATCGTTGGTGAGGTCCTTAAGTTCTTTCATGACAAATTCTAGGAAGATGTTAAATGAGATTGGAGAAAGCAGACACCCTTGCCTCACTCCAACCTTTACTTCAAACCAATCTGTAAGTTGCCCATTTATAATGACTGCACATTCAGTGTTGTTATACATGTTTTCTATAAGATGGACTATTCTTGGGTCAACTCCTATTGCTAGCAACATTTTCCAAAGAGCTTTTCGCCAAATGGTATCAAATACAGCTTTAAAGTCAATGAAGTGCAGTGGAACTTTATGCTCTTAAGCCTTTTCTATCAGCTGCCTGAGAATGAATATGGCATCAACTGTTCCTCTACCTGGTCTAAAACCGAACTGACTTTCACTCATAGCTTTTTCCGCTGTCGTTTTAGTTCTGTCAAGTAATATGCTGCAGAACACTTTACCTGGAATAGAAAGAAGGGATATGGCGCGGTGATTTGCTGGGTCTAATTTATCCCCCTTTTTGTGGATTGGTGTGACGATCATCCTTGACCAGTCTTTTGGCACTTTTTTCTCTTTCCAGGCAATATTGAAAATTTTAAGGAGCATGTTGATCATTGTTTCCCCTCCTGCCTTAAGAACTTCAGCTGTGATATTATCTACTCCTAGTGCCTTGTGAGTTTTCATCTTTTGAACTGCTTTTCTAACCTCTTGTAGAGTAAACGTATCTTGTGGCATCAACGTCATTAGGTGCATCTGGTAATGAGTCATAAGCATCCTCTTCATGGGGAAACTCTGTGTTTAAGTGAGTTTCAAATTGTTTCTTCCAGCAGTCAAGTATAACATCTGTGTTTGTGTGGATGTTACCTGTGGTATCTTTAATGGCACTTATGGGTTTTTTCTTTTTACCTTCAAGACGCCTTACATTTTTAAATAGATTATGTGTGTTGTTTCTTTTGAAATCTTCTTCCGTGCACTCAACTAGTTGTTCCAAGTTTGCCTTTTTCTGAGATCTGACAGACTTCTTGACCTGCCTGTTTAGGTCATTATAATGTGTTCTTAGTTGGTTGTTGTCTGGTTTATTCAGCATCTCCTTTCTTGCCAGACGTCTTTTGTCACATAGTTTTACTATGTCGGCATCCAGTCCATCTACGTGCTCTCGTTTTTTAACACCAGTAATTTCAAGGGTAGTGGTATTTACTGAGTCTTTGAACGAGCAGTAGAGACTATCTATGTCTTCATAGTCAGAATCACTAAGCTCACTAAAGCGATTCTGCAAAGAGATTTCAAAATGACTTGTTAATGTAGAATCGTTTATGAGCCTGTCTACATCAAACCTTTTTACAGTGGTAGGTTTCTTCCTTTTATGCAGTTGACTTAAGGTGATGTCAAGGTTTGCAACCAAAAGGAAGTGATCGGTGTAGACATCAGCTGAGTGGTATGCTCTTGTGTTCTTAAGTTTTGGTTTGAGATCTTCTTTAACTATGACCTGTTTTTAGTGTTTAACAGCTTAGTGTGTGACAACTTTGCATCATCAATATCAACCTTAGATGCAAGTAACAAGACCAAATATTGTTTCCTGCTGTCATCAAGGTTAGACTTCTGGTCTCTTGTAGCCTTGCGGAGTCTTCGATAAAGGGTTCCACAAACATATCCACTTAGGTAAGCCAAAGCATTTCTTTCCCTGTCTGTTAAGGTTGTCAACTTGGGTTGTATAATATCAGTTGTCTCAATTTCTATACCTACAACATGAGCCATTATTTGGCTAACAAGCTCCATGCCAAGCAGTAAAGTTGGATGCTTTGATATGCCTTTAAACAATACATCACAGTTCTTTTTTACTATGCTGTAAAACTTGGGCAAAAACGTCTCGTGGTCCAGGTTTGTAACCACATTTTCCAGCACAGTATACAAAGAGACAGCTTCGTCGATGGTAATATGGTATCCGAAGAACTCATTCTGAATAGTAGCAGGATAGCACTGATCAGATGCCAAATTTGTGGCACATTTTTCAACAAATTTTTTCAATTGCAATGGATGCAGCTTGGCCTTTTTATCAACTTTGTGGCTTCTGCTCAAGTGTTGCTTCACGCCTCTCGCCGTTTTAAAAACGCTATCACATTTTGGGCATTTATTGGCATCTTCGATATTTGTTGTTATCTAGAATTAAAAAAATAATACAATTAATTTTAAAATGTTCGATTTCGTTTCAATCCAGGAGGGTAAATTCTGTTTAGTTGGGTTAGATTTGGTCGGGCTGAATACCAAGGCCTTTCCTTAAATGTATTACCGACTCCTCTGCCCAGAGGCTCTAGCAAAATCAGTCTCTCTGTTTTACCTGAAACATAATTTGAAGCTAAATAATGCTTCTTGCTGAACTTTTGCTTCTTGCTGAGCTGATATTAAGGTATTGCCTTCAATAGATAGATTGAGTTTCGGGGTTATGGCCTAAACGCAAGCCCCTTGAATAAGTCATCAATTGGTCCGTATATTTTGATTAATCCAAGCTTCTACTAACCTCTGACAAAACTGAATCGATGTGTGATTGAACAGACTCATCTTTTTCGAAAAAGTCTTCCTCCAAAAGCTCCAAAATGAGATCAAGATCATCCCCATGCACGTAGTCGCCAGTCGTATCCATGTTTATGAATTGGTAGTATGCACCTTCGCCACTCTCCAGTGAAATCGCGCAACATAATGTCGGAGAACAATAGAACACAGGGGTAGATTCCAGACTATACTTTTCTTTTGACTATGATTTGATTGTAAATGAATAGAAGAACTCCTGTGAGTAACCTCCTGACAATGTGTCAAAGAGATAAACGAATTGGTTGCGGCAAACATAAATATGTTGTTGTCAAGCTTAAAGTAGATTTCACAATAATGAACTGAGCTTTTAGATTGGCCTGCACAATATTGAAAGAAGCCCCACGAGTCACCCAGGAGTAAATGAATCAATTTTTTTGGAAAATACAAACAGGAGACTTTCTATTTAAGGCTTCCTAGCGATAGTCACAGGAGTGCGAGTGTAATTTTTACCAAATATTTTTAGCAGAGCAAGCTTTTTTTTATCAGGTGACCCCGATAGGGCGTGCCCATTAAATTTGAGATAGAGGCTAGAAATCTTTGTGTTAGGGACAAATTTTCCTATAATTCATTAGAGGCTTCAACACAGTTTTTGTCTTAACCAAGGCTTATTTTCCCTGAAATCATTAGAAGCTTCGACAGAATGTTTGTGTTTACCAAGGTTAATTTTACTATTATTCATTGGGGTGTTAACATAATTCTTGTTATCTCTGAGGCTAATCTATGTACCCTACCGTAGGGCCACTGGCAAGCCTGCGTAGCGGGCTTCGTAGGGGAGCTAGTTGATGCTAACAAAGGAATTTTTCGAATTGGACATGTAGTTTCTGAGATCCCCCATTTAGGTAGGTAAAAGATATTTTCACACGAATACACTACTGTCTTTATATTCATAGCAGAATATTTTCGAATCAAACATGTAGTTTCCGAGATC